CCTGTAAAAAATGTAGGCTTCAACACAAGAATTAATCCATAATTCTTTGCCCCTTCCTCAGCATTAACAAAGCAAAGGACTCAGAGATCTGCAATATACTTGTCCTGAAAACACACAAGATTGCACATTTATGAAATATTTCCTTTGATATTAATATTTATCATCATATTTCACATATTTACATAGAGAAGAAGGATAAATTGAAAAACATTTGTTCCTTGGTCTGACCTTCATGTCTGGTATAGTTAGAATTGTTATCACTCTGGGGAGCATTCAATAAATCATTTTATTTTATCCTTATAGCAAAGTGGAAAACCTCTCAAGGCTTATCTTTTCAAATGACTGTGGCTTAATTTTTATTATCTTAATTTTTTTCAGCCAACTTGTTTGCTGGCATGATTCTGAGTGCCTTCTCTACTGGGTATATCTGTTTCTATGGACAAATAATCAATCAACTTGATGCTTTCTAATTATTTCCTTCATGATGCAGAATTATTTTAGTTGGCAATTTTTTTTGGATAAAAATGTGCTGTGTAATGTTTGTAATTGATTGTTAAATTGTGTGGGATTCCTATTAAATTCCCACCATAAAAATACATAAAATAATGTATCAAGAAGTGTCTCTTGACCCTGGCTGGTGTAGCTCAGTGAATTGAGCGCAGGCTGCGAATCAAAGCATCACAGGTTTGATTCCCAGTCATGGCACAAGCCTGGGTTGCGGGCCAGGTCCCCAGTGGGGGCCACATGAGAGGCAACCACACATTGATGTTTCTCTCTCTCTCTTTCTCCCTCCTTTCCCCTCTTTAAAAATAAATAAATAAAATCTTAAAAAAAAAAAAAGAAGTGTCTCTTTGGTCTTGGGTGATATATTCAATTTTCTAGGTTATGTTTCCTACTCCATGTCACCTTTGACGTTTTCTTATTTTTCTACATTTGTTAGTAACAGGAGAGGTGGAAAAAAGTAGGTTTACACTTGTGAGTACACAAAACAGTTTACTCTTGAATTATTATTTCTTAATTATTGTTATTTATTTGTATTATAACTGTAAAACAAATAAAACCTACTTTTTCTCTCCCCATGTATATCTGATAAACATATTCAATATGAAACTAATACAATTTTATGACAAGTTTTACATGAAGATGAGGGCAAAAGAAATTTAAAATGCAAATTTTGGATACCTATTTTTGTTAACTATATATAAAGCAGTGTCTTCTACTGTAAGTATGGAAGGAGATATAAGCTGTTTTGAATGTAAGAAAATCAGTTTGGGTCATGCTTATTTTAAAATGCCTACAATACAGCCAATTGGATATCATCAGTAAAATTTATACAAATGAATCTATATTTCAGGAAAAATATGGGCCTTAGAGATTCAGTATGGAATGCTATTCCCATATATGTTAAAATTGAAGACTTCTAAGTTGATATTTCCAAGGGAAAGCATATGACATAGGGTGGAAAGAGTATTAAGACAAAATTCTAGCAATTGAGCATTTACAAGGAAAGCAGTGGAAATGCCTGAGAATAAATGGCCAGAAATATGGGAAAAGCAGGAAAGGCCAAGAAAGGGAGGGCATTTAAGGTGAGCATAATATCAAGACGGCCTTCTTGATGCTGTTAAACTTTAGTCAAAATAAGATTAAAGAAAGTAAGGAAAGAAGGACAATCAAACATGACATTAGGCCAATGGCCTTCTGTGGGACATTGAGCATTTGATCACTTTTAAATATGACATAAAACCAAAAAAAAATGCCAATCTATTGTTCTGGTTTTCCTATATAAACTTAATCTCAGAGTAACTAAATAGTTGATGAAAGGAAATTAGTCTTTATCAAAGTAGTGTGGCTATTAAATGAAGAAAGAATATGAAAATCACCACTTTGAAATGAATAATGATTTGGTAATGATAATCAATTACTATTAAAATTACAGAAAGATGCCCTGACTTGACTTTATGTATGCTGATGCAAGTATACAATACTACCTGTGATATGTTCTTAAAAAAAAATCAAGCCTGAGCCCTGGCTGGCATAGCTCAGTGGATTGAGCGTGGGCTGAGAACCAAAGTGTCGCAGGTTCGATTCCCAGTCAGGGTACATGCCTGGGTTGCAGGCCATGACCCCCAGCAACCATACATTGATGTTTCTCTCTCTCTCTATCTCCCTCCCTTCCCTCTCTAAAAATAAATAAATAAAATCTTTAAAAAAAATCAAGCCTGAATCTGACTTACATCAGTCAATGAGTCCAACTGCCACTTTATGGGAAATAAAGGGAGCATTTTGATATTGATTCAAGTGAACTACAGAGAAATGTATTAAAAAGAGGGGACTACTGATTGGATATTTGAAAATACTTTTACAGGTTGTGAAGGTTTAGGTAAGTGTGATGGTATTATAATTATATTTTAAAATAATCTATTTTGAATTACAAACAAATATTTTGTGAAATGATATAATATTTGGGCATTTTAAATCTTGAAGTCTGTGAAGTTATGTGCAAAACAAGATCGTTATTGAGTTGATAATTGTTGAAGCTGGCTTACAAGGACAAGGAAATTTATTAAAAATTGATCAAATTTTATGTGAGTTTGAAGTTTTGATAACATTAAGTTAAAATAAATAGAAAATGAGAGGAAAGATTTTGGTGAAATGAATGAGAGGAAGCAATAAGAAATTTAAAGTTAACATTTTTATGTTTTGACAGAGAAAAAATGGTAAAGTAGTTCTATAAATATAAAGTGTTTACTAAAGGATTATCACACTGTGGGCACTCTTTTCACTCTCTATGTATACATTATTAGATTCACCTAATAGTCACACTATTCCTTGTTTACTCACTGGATGAGGTACCTGAAAGAATGGAAGTTAAATGGCTTGGCTAAGTTCACATAACTAGTTGGTGAGAGAGTTAGTTTTGACATGTTGGGTCCAGACAACCACATGCTATGTACCACTTGTGTAAATGCAGAGGATGAAGTGAAGGGAGTTGTGGAGACCGGTATCTAAGGATATTCAAGCTTCAAAACAATGGATGAACAAATTTAAGCACAGGAGAGCATCATCTGGGACTCAGAAGCAGAGGGATTGACTTGAAAAGAGAGAAGGGATAGAGCAATGGGTTATGTGATCTGAGGAAAGTCACTTAGCTTTGAAATGGAGTAGTATCCTTTTCTACCTTTGTTCAAAATAAAAACAGAATAAATGCCTCACATAAAGAATTGTTGTAAAAATTGAATAAAAAGTTTTACTTTCTGCAAAGTTGGTATCACTGAGAAACTTCAAATTAAAATTAATAACTCCAACACATTAATATTTTCCATTAACAAGTTTTTAAAAACACTAGAGGAAAGATTTAAGAACTAATAACTTTTTCTGTGAAAAATATTTATATTCCAGCATTCCTTCCAACTTTATTCCAACTTATTATTCTTAGCCTACTAAATTCAAGTTAAATTATATTTACTTTATGAAACCCTTGCTTGATTTAAATGGCTATGGTGGATCTTTGTAAATATCAACTTCTTTTACTTTTGCTTAGAATTTGGTAGTGAATCACCTATGGACTTCAATGTTCCATAACTGAAGTTTAGATATCATAGCTGTAAATGTCATAAATATTATTGCAATTCCCTGAGCTTGTGGTTGAGAAAACTATGGCATACACTAGAAAGATATACTGGATTAGAATGTGCTGCTATTGGGTGGACTAATCAAAAATAACAAAAAAATATTTTTGATGCTCAAAGCCTGCCTTATTCTAAAAACCAAATACGTTGGAAATATAACCAAATATGTTGGAAATGTAATATGTTGGAAAATCTTGGGGTCCCACCCAAGATTTACACTTTGCTCTGTGAACATGTACAAACTATTTTTCCCCATTTACCTTCACATCGTACATCAATTAAAATAGAAGCATGGCCTCAAAGATTCCATTATCTACATAGTATGGTCATCACTGTAGAATCAGAGTAGTGTAGCGGAAATTTTATGGGTCTGATTTGAAATAAATGTGTGTTTCATCCTGCCTTTGAAGAACAGTCAGTCTTTGGACATTTTCTAACAGCTTTGAGTCATGGTTTCTTAGTAAAGTGGAGACAATAAAGTATATTTCAAAGGCAAGAGTGAAAAATTCTAATACAGTATAGTGCATGCTTATTAAATGATAACTTCCTCACAATCACCATATCCCTCTATCTTTTCAGGAGAGTCTATCAGGTTGGGGGACAATCCCTGTTATCACATAATATCTACATCTGTAGCCAGGGATGGGCAAGAATACTCTACTTGCTGACAGGGAATTCAGACTCTTTACATGAGTATCTACTAAAATATCAATAACATCCCTTGTAATATGATTATATGCATATGCAAAGGAGTTATGGATTATTTTCACAGGCAGGAGATGTCACTTTTTAAAAGTATACTCACAAATCAACAAAATACAAAAATGATCCATTTTCTTGAATACAGCAGACTATTTGCTATGCCCTTTACAAATGGAGACTGATGTGGTACAGAGAGAATAATTGGGATCATTTGTGAACAATGGCACCCCTTCAGGTAAGAATACAATTCTTCCACCCTGTTCCATAAGCAGAGGCTCACCACTGCTTTCTGTATTTTTTCAAGTAATGTTACATTACAGTGTGACAAAGCAACTTCTAGTTAGGTTTCACAAAATTATGCTCATGCCCTACAACCTCAGTATCAAACTCTAGTTGCAAAAAAGGTTTGAACATAAAGATTCATAAATATGTCTTTGAGAAAAACAGATGCTGACTGCATTTAAAATATTTAGCATTAGAAATTCCAACATTTTTATTAGAACTAACTGAAATCATTTTACCAACTCTGTAAATTTAATGTTTTCTGTGGGAGGGACAAGCATGACAGTCGGATTAAACTGTGTTCAAAGGGTCTTTATTTTTTGAAAAAATATAAAATTTTATATCTTACACTACAAAAACATGTACACAAACCAAATGCACAGAGAATTTCAAATGGGGAAAATACAGAAGTGCTCATCCTTCTTTGAATTAATGCTGAGGCAGGGACTTGAGATACCCTGAAGCTTAGCATAAAATAAGAAACATTTGGCCTGAAACTAAGAGATCTTAGTAAACATATTAACAAATAAGTGAGTCTAAGTTTTATTCTCAGACTATTATAAATGAAATTTACATACTTTTAAATAATTCATTTAAAAACTATTACAGCCTAAAGATTCGCAAATATGTTGACCACTGAAATTTCTACTGTTGATTTAGGTTAGCCTTAATAAACATATTTGTCATCTTCCATTTTTTTTCATTTAGGAGAGAAACATGATATTTGATTCTGATTATTATAAGTAGACTCTCTTACAAAAAAAGAATTGGCATCTTCTCCTAAGCAATAATTATGTAGTCATTCTGAATAAGAACATTCAATCATGTATGTGTCAAAAGACTTTTTCATAAATCAACAAGAAATGAATGCTTTACCTACTCCTCCTTTGATACATTACTATATAATTAACATCATAATAGACAAAAATATTCAATGTAACCAGCTGTGTTACATAGTTACAAAAATGATGATTTATTCCAGTTATTATAATTACAAATAAAACTAGTTTTTTATTGTTTATTCATTATCACCATCATCATCATCACCATCATTATCATCTTATTGTACCTACTTTTTATTTATTTTGAGGTTAACATCTGGAAAGACATAAGCAAAGACAGTTTACTACCATACTTAGCTTGCTTTTTTCTTATTTTAAGAAAGAACAAAATGAGAAATGATTTTATTCTACTATGCAACATTATACATCTAAGTAAATTTCTAACATCTGACTCATATAAAATTTGCTACCCAATGAACAATTACAGCCAAAAATGTCTTCCACTGGTAAATATCTCTGCTTGTGCTTCAGTGAACCCACTTTGAATGGGAGAAAGAATGGTGTTAAAAGTCATTTAACTTTCACATAGAGATTAAATAGCATACATGCAAACACATATGCCCAGCTGCTGTTAACTTTTCTTTAAACTTGAGGTATGAAACTATTTCTTCACCATTGCACACTGGTTAAACTCTTTCACAAATTGATTTAAGGATGTCCTTAACTTTTGGCAACTGAGACTAATATAATAATGCTGGCCATATTTAAGTTTACATAAAATATCAGAATATAATTTTTACAGTAATCCTACAACCTCAGAACACTGACTTGGTGATTAAATACAAGAAATAAAAGACCATGCATGTTAATTTTTTTCAATGAGAAAATGAAAATCTTTACATTTTTACATATAATTTATACATTTCAATGCCCAAGAACAACAACTGATAACATGATATTTTTACATGTGAGCAAATGACAAGATTAGGAAAGAAATTATGAGTGATAAAAGCAATAATTGAGTAACTTCAACAGATATCAGTAAGTTGAAAAATTACTCCCAGATTGTACCTATTTTTCAAAGTAATATTGAGAAAGACTCATACCCTAAAGATATTGCTACTGATAGTTACAAAAACATTATGTATCATTTGACGAATCTACCACTTATGCTAAAATTATTGAGTTTGTATTTTGTTTTTGGTTGTTGGGTGGCTGACCAAATGAACCAAAAAGATAAGAAATCACAGAATCAAGATTTGTCAAACCTTGCTCTGGGTTACTGCCTCACTGCATTTCACAAAAGCTGCCTCTTTCTCTTGTTCCACTTCTCACATTCATAGTGAGACTGGCACTTCCCAATTGGTGATATATCCAGTGGTGAACAAATATTTTAAAAAGGGATTGTTTCCTTTTTTAAGGGAAGTACATATTATTTGAAAGTCTCTTTATTACTTCTAAAATCACATTGACATTCCTTAGAAATTCTCAACCGTATTTAGATATGGATGAAAGTTATGTGTCTAACATTTATCTGTTAACTTTGCAAAATGAACACCAAGATTGCAAAGGAAACAAATCAATTTGATCCAAATTAATGTATAATGTTCTTTTGTGAGAAAGAGGAGATCTACATTGTTACTTGAAATTCTAATCACTTAGATATATCTGGCCTGACCTTCCAATCATCTTTGAACATATAAAGCTGGAAAATAATTTAGAAGCTGCCTTCTACTGTGCAACTGATTGTGGCTAGTCCATCAGCACTAAAATTTATGGTAGTTTCTCTTTGAAGTAATACTCTAAATTCTTACTTTGAAGTTTCTCATTTGTTACTTTATCATTTATATTTGGTTGTTTTTACACAATTCAATAAAGTGCAACACAATCTCCAATTATTTTGTACATAAGAAATTAGTTAATTTTATGTTTATTATAATGAACAAATGTCTCTTTAATAATGGTAAAGCCTATTGACTTCTTGTATCCTCCCCTCTCTACTTTTGGAATCTCACTGAACCAGTGAATGTGGAGCATAGTTCATATGGAACCGTAGCACACTATAAACCTAATAAGAAGTTATAGCCAAAAGTGGACAGAACTCAATATATCATCTGAGAACTGTTTGGAATGTTTTTCTTTTCCCTTTTTTTTTTTTTTTGGTCCCTGTTCTTTAGCAACAAACTACTTCATTGCTTGAGTAAAAGGTGGGCATGATAGAAAGAAGTTATTTCCTAAAAGTTTAGTCTCTTATGTGTTAACTTTTAAATAAAATCTGTGCTTGGGAAAGAGGAAGGATGCGCCATTAGTAGGATGCAGGAATATTTCCTATGGATTCACTCATCCTGCCTACTCCAGTATACAATTTGGTAATCACAAGTAGGCTCTCTTTTGTTTAAATGTTGTGGTCCTTGAATCACATGTCATTCCATAATTTCCATAAAGTGTCATAATACAAAAAATTAGGTTCTTTTACCAAGAAGCTCAGTTTTGTTCAAGTTCTAATAAACTTGTAATTGGAATCACAAATGTCAGTTTTCATCAAGCAAAGTATGTAGAGTATACATAGGAACCACCTTATATTCCTTAATAAGGTCAATTACATGACACTTTCAGTTGGTTCATCAAAATAAATTCAATATGATAGAACTGAATATAAAATGAAATTTCCAAATGAATACATATTATCAACAAATAAAACATGTTGTCTTAACATAGAGAAAATCCTGAAGGCTATATATACCTTTGCCATCATTTCTTTGCTGCCTTGGTATCAAAATTTCTAGAGCTGAGCTACATGAGAAGTGGTTAAAAAGGATTAACACTTAGGAGTAATGCTTAGTGCTTTTTGTGCCTGGATTTAACAACACTAACAGAAGTCTGCACAGTTAAATCCTTCTACATCCTGCTGTAAATGTGCTCTTCGGTGTCACTGTTGTTTGACAAGGTATTTTCTAGGACTCAGAAAGGTGAAATTTCTTACAGAGGTGCAAGATTAATGGCTAGAAGAACTGCATTGTAACAGATATCACAAAGTTTTTTTTTTAAGCCAAAAGGGATTTCATCTTATAGACATTTTCTGTTAGTGAGTAAGGAGATTTAGTAGCTTTTGGAAACATGAGAAAAAAAGACACAAACTTTTGTTAAATTTTGTTTTACTGCATTCCTATTTCTGTAATTCATAGTCTACTCTGGAACACTTAGTCCTCTATGTTGCTAAAATTAAAAGTTTAAAAATGCAAGCAGAATGGTGATGCACATGTGTGCAAGCACATACACGCAGAATTCCAACTTAAATTGATTCCTGGGTATACAGCAAATTATACAGTATATACACATTTATTACCTAATAGTTTCTAGAAGAGCAACTAAATTTTATAACACAGAAAAATAAATATACACCCTGTATTACACTTATCCTTGATCAAGCAATATGTTTATATACTAGTTTCTATAACTTAACACTGTGTAACAGCACTTCAAAATTACAAAATAAGGTACCTATTAAGAAACTATCTAGCCATATTGCTCTTCAATACACTTATGTAGATAATTAAGACTTGAAGTAAACTTCAGTAAATTGTAGCTTTTGTTAGCCCACACATGACTACAAAACTTTTCCTTTCAAGTAGATTCTTGGAAGTCTTGAAAGGTGCTGCCTTAATTCAGTCTACAAAGGTGCCATTTATAGTTATATGTCTCATGTATAAAATGTTGTAGAAGTAGTGGTGAGGATTTCGTTGCTGTAAGATAAGATATAATTTAACCTCATGCTATTATTCCAAGGAGGTCATCCTTGTTTCATAAAAACTTGAAGTCACTGGGAGGAAGCTAAGGAAGTTTTTAGTAAAACACTGATTACAAATTCTGTGGCTGAAAGAAATGCTCTCAAAAGGTTTAGAAATCACTGAGTTTTCCCTTTTTTCTCTTTTTTTTTGTTAAAATAAATCTCAGGGCTTGTTTACAAAGTGCAGAATCATTCATTCAATGAAGTGACATTAAAATGAAGTTACAATGGCACCATCCCATTTACCAGCTGCACCTTCATTTCTTGAAGGCTGTTCATGATCTTCTTCTGGTGACCGACAAGAGTCACTCCAAGCCGTCTCAAGTCCCTGCATGGAGAAAGCACACATTGGATGTAGGTATCGATTCAATTTCTAGCACACCTTGATATTTCATGCTGGCAAAGTGGAAAACATTTTGCAAAAACTAATTCAATGACAGTCCCAATTTAGACATACCCAGTCCAATTTTCAAAGGCAGGCTCCAGAATTGTACCTTGAGGATTTGTTTGCCATCCAAGAACCATTTATAATGAGGAGTGACATAATATATATTTGCCCCCTGTTCAGACATCACTATGTTTGTGACACAGAGTGTTCAAAAAAACAAATTTGGTCATGCCTACCAATAAATATGTAAATTAAAGGGTACAATTTCACTGAATAGTTTTGAAAAGATGGACCTAAAATATGAACACACCCTATTTTTGCTAAATATAGTGAGCATAAAATATACTTTCAAAACATCACAGCTAAGCAGTTGAAGACTAAACTCTTCAAATGATTCAGTCAGTACAATCATTTTATGTAACATATATCTTTAGGAGGGAGTCAGCACTACGTTGCTCTTATAACACTTCCAAATACTTTATTCTTTACTTGGAATCCAAAGTACCAGAACTTGATTCCTTTGCCAAATAGCATCTAGGCTCCACTGGCATTTAGAACATTTCAAAGATTTCACAGTATCAGAAAGTTGTTTTAACCGGGATACTTCCATTCTGATTCTTTTAAATAAGCTTGTTACCCGAAAGAACGTTCCAGATGTTTAGATTTCAAATTCAACAACATTGTAAGGAGCTCAAAGCTAGTGCCCATGGTCTTAAAATGTTATTTTCTAGGATATTCAGAAATTCTATTCCCTAAAATTGTATATGGCAAAATGATGATTTATACATGTTTGCCAAATAACATTACTTATAGGAAAAATGACCACGAACAAGTCAACATTTTTAAATGACAAAGTTGCCATGTTAGATTTCTTAGATAATTACTTTAATGAACACATTATGCTAAAAGTATAATGTGTTTTGGCATATAGTAAACATATTAATTCCAGATTGTCTTAGAAGTTCATGAAATTAAGTACAAAGACATTGAATTGTTATGTATAAAATTGAATATCTTTGGAAACTCAATGACGTCTCTTAATTATCAGAGGATATAATTTAAATAAATGGGTTCTTTGGCTCCATATTCATTCGTATTAGAAATAATGGCTTTTTAAATAATGTGTTGGCTTTCTTTTTCTCTTTCTGTTTTTTATTTTTTTATTATTTTAACATCTTATGAGACATTTAGCAAAGAGCAAGCATCTAAAAATAAATAATAGATATTTTGGTGGACAAATATTTCTTAGAATGTGACCATGAAACATTGAATCTAGAAGCTATCATAGCTACAAGACACCAAAGTACAATATAAAATAATAGTAATGGTAAGCATAGAAGAAATTCATCAGCAAACAAAAACCAGTAAAAATTCACTCTGAAACAAAATCACTATTGTTAGTTATGAAATAGAATATACAATAAGTAGTATACAGACTGACATAGAAATAAGAGAATAAGAGGATTGAATTTAATCTTTTTTCTTTTAAATTAAATCAGAGTCTTGCCTTGCCCCTGTTAACATTACAGGCTGAATAGCTCTTGGTTGGGGGTGGCAATCTTGTACACTGTGGAACATTGAGCAGCATCCCTGGCCTCTCCCCACTAAGTGCCAGAATGGCTGTACCACCTCTTACCCTTTGTTGTGACAAGACAAAATGTCTCCAGACATTGTCCTATATCCCCTGAGTGGCAAAGTCTCCCCTGGGTGAAAATCACTACACTAAGTACAAAAATAAGAGGTGACAATTAAGATAGCTTATCCCTGTATATAAGAGAAATAGGTACCCCTATGATGTAGATTTTTGCTAACCTCATTTTATGAATAAAGAAACAAAGTCTTAGAAAATTTTAATTGGTTGGCTAGGTAGACAACACAGCCAGTGTGTAGCAGTAGGACTAAAAGTAGGAACCTGACACCAAAGTTTGTACTCCTTTTATTTATCATTACTCTGAGATATGATTTTGAGCAAAGTACTGCAAGTTGCATGCAATTATTTATCCATCTGTACGATGAGAACTGTGTAGATTTAATATCAAATGTAAAATTATAAAAGAAAGAAGATAGTTAATTAAGGAAACTGAACACATACTTCTTTATCTGAGGCTTCAGTAAAAACATCTATACTTCATGAATACTTCAGGTATGAGCTAAATAAATTCTTGTGTTTTCACATGAAACTTAGGAAACATGAAGATTTTTGTAGATGGAGCTATTCATGGGTGCTCACTAGCCTACTTTGAAACTAAGTTAGGAAAAAAGGAACTAACACTTCTTTTTTTAAAAAGATTTTATTTATTTATTTTTAGAGAGGGAAGGGAAGGAGAAAGAGAGAGAGAGAGAGAGAAACATCGATGTGGGGTTGCTGGGGGCCGTGGCCTGCAACCCAGTCATGTGCCCTGACTGGGAACTAACATTTCTTAACCTAAAATAAACTCTACTGGAAAATTTAAATAACTAATATTTGAAATGAAATTCTAAAACATGTTTTATCATAGGATTTATAGACCCAGGTTCAAAAATACTGACATAATATATATATATAAAATACATAATTCAAATGAGTGGTCCAATTATTAAGAAAGAGCTTTTTAAAAAATAATCATTATAGTTTGTTCTGAAAGACCTGAAAAAAGAATATATAGGTTTACCTACTGAAAAAGCATGGACTTTGCATATACAATATCAAAACCTTCATTTTGGAATGTGTAGATGTATGTAAGCATGTCTGTACATGTGTGTGTTTTCCACACTCCAACTCTTGGTTGTTTTGTCTAACTGATATCAAATAATTGGTTTAACTTATTTTATTTCTGCTGTTTAATTTATTGTGATATTATTTTAAATATAACTTTATTCTCTGAGAAATAACAACATAAGAAAGACTTTGGTTCAATGCTTTGTAATTATATTTGTGATGATATTTTTAATGATATTGCAAATGAGAATTAAAGCAGAGTTAGAAAAATGTTTCTAGTAAAGGTTAAATAGCTTTATTTCTATATTGTTAAATGTATTATTTTCTTTTAAGTAGTTTTGCTTCACACTTTTGTAATTTCTAACAATTCCCATTTTACTCTTCAAACTACACATTAAATGATCAATTTATCAGTAATAAGGTAAAAGAAATTCGATAAAAGTTAAAGTAGTTTACATTTTTGATAAAGTTGCTGCTTAATTTCTAATAATTTTGAAAACTACTTAGAACAAAAATGTCATTATGTACTAGTTTACTCATTTCAATTTTCTGTAAGAATATTTTATAACTGGGAAAAGTTTTACCTTTGTCACCTTTATAAATTTTATGCTTATTTTTATCACAATCTGTGGAGTCTTAAGTAGTACCCAAAACCAATTCTAATGATGAAAACAATTTCAGTATAAACTTATAAATTTAAACATAAACAAAAATAGCATTTCTACATAAAAATAGTTTGTGTTTTGTCAATGAAGCATGCTGACAGCTTTAAATATAATGAACGAGCATCACGTTTCATCAAATATTATTCCATAAATTAAACAATGAAAATCACTAATGTTATGATATTAAGATAGAAGAATGAAAAATACAGAATAATAAGAGTTTCTAGTTGATGGATTTAACTTATCCACTGTGGATGAGTCATTCCCGTACTCATTCTTCTTCCTTCTGCTTTACACACCTTTTAGCCATTTCTCTGGTACTTAAACCCACCAACAATGGCTGGATAGGAGGAGGGAGAAGATAGATTAATGACTATGCACTAAATTTCAGTGTTTATCCTTTTTCTTTTCAGAATTTGGTTATTCATTTGAATGGCATTTTTGGTTCATTTAGAATAGTCATAATAACCAGCTACTGCAGAAGACAGATGCATTTGCATTTGGCAAGAGAGAGTTGACTATGGCCTGGTCACGGTTTTCCACAAATGAGACATTGTGAGGGTTAGACTAGAAGTTTCAGATTATTTATGTAGAATATTTAAGGTTGTGAGAACTCTTATGTGTACTCTACCTGTATAAAATTAGCATAATGATTGTATTAAAAAGCTAAGAAATCTATTTTAAGTTAGTGTGCAAAAATTTTAGTTCAGGGTTTAGGAGATACTCATTTTAGTAGTTTATGATCCCATTTTAATAGGTGGTATTAACGGGCACATCTTCAGCTTACACACAATTGGTACAATATTTAGATCCATTGGACTGTACTCATTTTCTGAATAATCAAAGCTGACAATACAGGTTAGACAAGAAGTTTAAAAAGCAACGTAACACTGTCCTAATTTCAAATCTTTAGATTCAATTTGCAACTCATCTCAAGCTCACATCCCTCCCCCCACCCCATCTACAATACTTAACTGCATTTACACATCACACTACAGCGCCACACTATGGCGTCATTACTGCCATAACAATTACTGTGGTATGAGTATTGTACACTGAATATCAAGCTTTCGGCAGAGAACAGCAGTCAGAAGTGTCTAAGGTTGAAAGCTTCTTTTGTTGAACATGTTTTGATTCTAAGATCTCAAAGTTTTGCTTCCCCTTCCCCCCTTCACACTAAGCCATAAAAGCATGTGCTGGCAAAGAAAAAACATCATAAAAAAATAAAATTAAACCTTTATGAAAGAATTTTAAGTGAAAGAAGTGGTTCCAAAAAACTAATTTTTTACTCTTCCTTTTATAAACCTGCTATGAGGACAAATTTGATGGCGTGAATTATACATATGGCAATTTGACCTTTTGCTTTATATTAATGATTTCAACATTTTCCCTAAACATTTATTATAAGTATGAATGTGTTCTTCCAGTTTGCAGTTTTTTTTGGCAGTGACACTAGTGATAATATTTTATTTTATTATAAACTATACATACTCCATAAAATAAATATTTATATAGGTAAAGGGCATGTGTCAAAAATCATTATAAAATGTTTTAATTTTTAAAATATTTTTATTTATTTATTTTTAGAGAAAAGGGAAGGGACGGAGAAAGAGAGGTAGAAAAAACATCAGTGTGTGGTTGCCTCTTGCATGCCCCCTACTGGGGACCTAGTCCACAACCTAGGCATGTGACCTGACTGAATCAAACCTATGACCTTTTGTTTCGCAGTCTGGCACTTAGCCCACTGAGCCACACCAGCCAGGCCCAAGTGTTTGAAAAGGTTATTTTCTTAAGCTGCTGTCCCAGTTCCTTTGACATAAGTCCTTAATAATGACTGATGTTATTATTTATTTTTGGTGAAGGGCAAGTGAAATCCACAGAAAACCTTTTTCTTATACTTTATATTTCTACCAAAATGTAACTAATTACTCACTATTTTGTGCTACTTAACATAATATTTGATTAATATATTCTTACCAAATAGGAAAAATGTGGTAAAAATACAATAACTAGAGGACATGTATTTAGAGGTGCTGAACTCTCCAAGAAATCAGCTTCACTGGAGTGAGTTAACCTTTGTTGGTCCAGTTCCTAGGAATAAATATATTTGCATGGGCCCCAGGAATCTGAAGCAATTCACCTATGGAGGACTATATTCTCTGAAGAGGAAGATTGTCAGTTAAGTCTCCTCATTTCACCTTACACTTCTGGTGAGAGTAAGTAAGTTCAAAGATGAAAGTATCTTATGGAGGCATTATAGCAAGAAGCAAGAAGCTACCAAAGTAATGTACATACACAGAAGAAATTGAACCAAGTGGACAAGAGTTATTGGAGAATATAAAGGAAGTGGAGAACAATTATAAAATAGAAGTTGCTAGGACTTGAAAAAAACATACAAAAGGAAGAAAGTCTGGGGATAAGAAAGTAAAAAGAGAAGAATTATAATAAATAAAAGAATGTGAAACCATAATGGTAAATTATTAAACATATTTATAGTATTTTGGGGCCCCAATGAGATAAAGTAAAGCAGGTAGTTAGTGTAAAAACCATTACTAGTGGTTATAATTATTCTGTGAAGGGAGAAGTATGCATATGTGCTGATTTAATAAAGAAAGAGACATTGTTTAATGCAAATAATTTTATTATATATTTACAAGTAATCTGACATTGGGTAGAAGAAATACCTACAGTATCATTTTAATATAAAATGACAAATGACTGTAATAAATTAAAATGACCATTTTTTTACTGAAAAATTAAATAGCAACCATGTAAAAATAGTTTTAAATTATCAGTAAAATTTTCTGTTTCCTATTTTAAATACAGCACAAATGAGCTCTTTGAGTGTCTGAAGAAGTAATGGGCCAAGCAAATGTGTCATCGAGGAGATATGATTCGGTGGGAATCATAGAATGGGATGCAGTAAATTATGAGAGCAAGCTGAGTGGTGATTTCTGGTCCTTTTAGCTATAGGTATAATGGAAGAGAAATGTTGAGAATGTGACATTAACTGGTGATAAATGATACTACCCTGTTACCTTATTTTGTGGGTGTGCAGTAGTTCCAATGAATCTAAGAATGCCACAACACTACAAATGGTGAGAGAATTTCTCAGTGCTCATTTTATGTGAAGGAATGGAATATAGGCCATGGCTTACTGCCTTAGAATGTTCTACCAGGTTCCAATTCATACAACAATATTTTAACCTTTGAATGCATAGCTGCTTTGAAGTAATTTATCATTATATTCATAGGTTAAAACATTATTCATATTTATGCAATCTAGATGGGACCACTATAATGACAGTTAATTTTCACAAATAACAAATATTAGGCTAAAATAATCACACATACACAGTATATAATAATAAAATACAGACAACTTACAACCTTAAAGAGTTTAATATTTAACTCTAATGATTTTTATTTAATAAGAGTTGATTTATCTTAAACGTGCAAACAGAAAAGGGCACAATTGGTTCCACTGAGATTTTACCAAACAACAAATCAGAGGCAAGATCTAATATACCCTTGGATTGCAGGAATAGAAGGTGCACCATTTTGAGATTAAATGAGATTCCTGCCTGGGAAGCTTTATTTAAGATGCTGTTTCCTGGGTATTCAGCATAGCTGAAATTTAAGAATACGTTTTGTTGTTATGTAGGACTAGTCATACCAATTGTGCTTACAGTTCGTTTTGTATTTACATTCATATGACACAGGTACCAATATAAAAAACTTTGTCAAAAAAACATCTTTTCCACAACATAAAATACCAGTATTTTGCCAAAGAGCTGTTATTTCAATTATTCAAATATTCAAATGCTGTTTGTTTGAAGCAAAGAAGCAAAGACACTGGCTACAAGTAGCATTAACCATGCAGTTGTTAACAATACAGGCTACAAAAGAAGAGGCTTCTTTGAAAGCTGTCACACTTGGGCAAAAGTTAATTGATTTCCTTTGACCTCATCCAGATTGGTTTCTGAACAAATTTTCTCACCCCAGCAATTATGTAAAAATTATCAGAAAAATTACTCACTCCAAGGTCACCTGAGCCACAGCGTCCATTGAACTGTATCCATTTTCCATGAAAATCTCTGTATACCGGCCCATTTTGATTGCTTCTAGCCATTCACCTACTGATCTGTAGGCCCCAGATCCCAGTGGGCCATGTTCTGCCAATAAATTGGATACTCTAAAACACATAAAACATAAATATTAAAACTAACATTTTAACTCTCTTATTACAAATCATATCATAATGTTAGCTCATTGTCAGTATTGATAGGGCAACATATAAATATAGGTATAGATATATAGATATAGATACATGCAAACATGGAGGAAAATATTTTGAAATACAAGACACGAAACCAGTCTATTCAGATTTTTCTATTCATAGTTTATGAAGAATTATAATGGCTTAAGAAATTTATTTTCTTTATATAAAACATTAGCTAAAAATTTCATGTAGTGATTTAGATGTATGTATTTCCTACTTCTGTTTTGTTTGTAAAAATAATATGAACACTGCTACCAAATATAGATATGTAGGATAATTTATGCAAAGTCAATTGCTTCTAGACTTTCCTAGAGAAACTTGTGCTCATTTAATTAATTTCCTAGGAATTCTATTATTTATCTCATTCTCTCATATAAGGGTGCTTGTTAATTCACCTAGGAGCAGTAAAAAATGGAAAATAAAATGTAACCCCAAATAATACAAAAACTGAAAAAGACCAAACAAGCCATGAGATGTTTTGAACTATATTAAATTCAAATGCTTTAGCTAAATATAATGTTGTGATGATAATGATAATCATTTTTGGAAATGTATCTTAAGGAAATAATTGGGGAAAATGGCAAAAAATACATGCAGAATTTTTTTTGTGTGGCTACTGAGAGTAAACATTAAAAACAATTTAAATGCCCATCACTGGGTGTTTATTTAAGTAAATTTTAACCAGAAGAATAGGCTACCTTTCTTTTACCCATCTTCTCTGCACTTTCTACATCCCATTTATACTTCAAACTACACTTGCATAGTTCCTTCTAAACAAATTCTATAAAATTTGCTCTGGTTGATACAGCAATGGCATCTATTTTGCCAAAACCTGTGATCACGTTCCACTCAGAAAGATGACTGACCTCTCTGAAACACCCAACAACCACCACTACAATCATCTCCCTCTCAAAATCCTACCTTAGCTCAACCCTTCTACCTTTCTGGATCACTATTCTCCATTTCTTGGCTACCACAGCATTGAATATTTGTGGTTTTCCCTTAATCTCCTTTGTCTGTTATTCCTTCTTTTCCTAACTTATAGTTTGAAGGGAACTAGGACTGGGCCCCATATCTTTTCTTCTCAGATCATAACTGCATTCTGCTTAGACGTTTTCCCAATTCTTTGCTTCAAATAGCAACTATAATTACCCAATTTTTATCTTGCATCAAAGCCTCTCCTATATTCATATGCCTACATCATTCCTCCATCTCTATCATAGGAATATCACTCCAATTTTTCCAAAACCGTGCCCATCTTTTTTACATCCAATTCTTCCTGAAGTGCTCCCATTAGAGTATACAATACAAGTTTCCTCCCTCCTTTTCTTCATTTCCTTCACAATCTATCATTGTGCATACTGTGCATATAGATACATACAAACATGGAGGAAAATATTTTGAAATACTACCATTCTACCTGCCACATATCACACATCTGCATGCTTCTTTCTATCTTGTTTGCTACCACCTGAGCTTAAGACATCATCATGCTTATCGACACAACTACTCTAGCCCCCCAGTTATCCTCCAAAATTGTACTGCCACTCTCCACTCCAAAACCAAAGTTGTTTTTCAATATTTTATTTTGTTTAACCCCTCTTTCCCACAATAGTTTATTGCTCAATCTGTATACTCAGCACCTAGCCCTCAACATGACACAGAATAGATGCATGAATATTTGTTGCATGAGTAAATGGATATCTTATAATGATTTGCAGCCTTTAAGTATTGTAGGAGGAAACAGTTGGAGAGTAGGATCTTAAAGTTGAGATTGTAGAATAGTTACAATTTTTGTTAATAGGAAAGTATAGAATATGACTACGACAAGAAGATTCCAAGGTATTTTAAAGACCAAAACCATGAAATTAGAAAATGTCAAGGTATTGACAGACACTAAAACATAATTTGCATGTTTAATAAAATCATCAAGTCTTGTGTCAAGGGTAGGCATATACAGAAAGGGAGTGAATCAGGAATTGACACCTTCTAGAATCAGGTTTTGTAAAAGGCTGAACAAAGATGGGTAGTAAGTGGTACAGTCTTAAGCCAAATTAGTTTAAATGAAACCTAGCAGGCTGATTCTATAGATTTCATCAAGAAAATATGAAAATGCTTTGTATATTTAAAAATTGCTCACAAGTTGTAATGATGATACTGATATAAATTAACATGATATAGAACACATATGAATGTATTTTTATTTATATTATTTATGTCTATTTGTGTCAACATAATTCAAAAAATAGATGAGAGAAATGCTTAATATTTTACATGACAATAAACAATATAAAAGCAGATATTTCAGGAACAACATAAGGAATAATTGCTAAGAAGATACATTTTCCAGTTGCCACCACAGAAAGTTAATGATCCCTGATGGAGTTCGAAGATTCATTCCTCATTTGTACTTAAAAATAAATTTTTGCCTAGTAAACAAATGCCATATCAGAATCATAGAACTTACATAATTTTATCAACAAAATGTTCCTCATTTAGTTCATGCTAATAGGTGGCCAGCTTGGTAACTGGTATGACAGATTTTTTTCATGTAACAATGAATAATGACCTCAAATGTGATGAAATAACAATCTGGAAAATTTTATAGTACAGAATCAAACTTATTTATCTTTTGAGAGAATAACTCTATAATTTTTCAGGTTAAATGAATAAAGTATTTACAAATATGCAACATTATTTAAATGCATTCATAATAAATATGCTTATTTGCTCACATAAATATTCCCCACAAAATAACTCATATTTGATCAGTAAAGTGTTCCTAAAATAGTTGTCAATATTTATAAAAATGGCAGACTCTAAAATCTATTCTAAAAAAATTAAAAATAATAATTGATAATACATCTAATTTAAAATATGTCAGTAGTTAGTGGGTTTTTCCTTATGGCTTTAATAATATTAGTTTTCCCTACCCACACCTGTTTTGGATCCAAAACACATGAAAATACATGTATTTGAGCCTTTTCTCTAAACACTGCCTGAGCTTGGCTATAGTTAATATTTTTCTGAATTGGCATGTTACACTATTAGATTTAATGTAGGTGTTTTTAAGTATAATTTAATCATTCCTATTTCATTCATTATAAGAGAGTATGCAAAAAATCATATTCAAATAAATGTGTCATAGATTTAGAGATTAACGTGATTTGATTTAATATTGGTGGCATCAATCTCAATTAGCTAAATTCAGGAAAATTTCTAAGGTCTGGACTCTACCTGCTCGATGAATTAACCAGCGTCTTCAAGCTACTTGGGTTACGTATAAGCTTGTCCAGCATGTTGACGATTTCATCAAACTTGGGCCTGCTGTTTCGGTCTTTCTGCCAGCAATCCAGCATTAATTGGTAGAGGGCAGCAGGACAGTCCATGGGGCTCGGCAGACGGTAGCCTTCCTCTACTGCTTTAATAACCTGTGTAAAGCAAATCAGAACCAGTCCCAACACCACATATTTAGTAGAGAAATCCCTTTACCCCATCCAACTTTCATCCTTTCTTTTTCTTACTCTTGCAATAACAACCAGTTTCACTGTCTCTAAAATCCCCAGTTATTTCCCTTTGCTGTGAAATAAAACTACATAAAGAAATATACTATCCCAATATAAAAAGATAGGCTTTCTTCAATTATTATGAAGAAAATAAATGGTAATCATTTTTACCTAAGATCTTGATGAAGGGTGATTTGGAAAATTAAGTCATAAAATAAACAGTATGCTTTATTTATCATTGAATACTGGAATCAAATAGACATTAAATGTTCTTGTGATTTCTCTGAAAAGTTAATGTCTTTTTAATGAAAAATTATGGGCAGAACCACAATTTGAAAGTAATAGAACTGCAATTTTATTTCTAAAGAGACTTTTGGATGGTAAATGCTGGATAAATCAAAGGCTAAATGCATACAACAATCTCATGTGTCATTTAATAATGTCTAGTTCTGGCTATTTACTATCATCTACTGATTTCTGTCAGGAATTTGGAGCAATTGTCTAGTAGCAGAGGCATTACAAACATCATTGATTTTAAATGTAACTACATGCACGAATATCAGTCTAATTTTAAGACTGTTTTATCAAAGACATTTGTAATGTTGCTGATGCTATTAAAATATGTAACTCCAGAAAAGATTTGTTCAAGTTCTTGAATATAATAGTACATATTTTATTAAATTATTAAAAATTAAATGTTTAACACCCCAAACCAATAATATTGAATATATTTCTTAAAATATTTGTGTATATTTTCTTAGCATTGAAAATTAACTACATTTTTCCATAAAGATTTTAGATTTGATCTGACAAAGAATACAAATAAAATGATTAGAACAGGAAATTTAGAAAGATAATTTGAATAACTGGAAAGAAACCAGTCTTTCTAGGATAGAGGGAATGCCATTTGAACAAGGTCAGTGACAGATGGAAAGAGGGTGAAGTAGCAGATTCAGGTCATACTTACGACAAGGGGGTGATGGAAGGTGAAATAAAGTGTATGAGACAAAACAAGTCCAGGCCTCACACTGGATGGTTGTTGCTGTTAGTTTTGGGCAGGCATATAAATGAGTTAATTTTGGAGGCTTTTTTTTACTTGAGGTGAGTGGGAAACACTCATATGAGGATATATGGAAATCTGGCTAGAGCACAGGAGATATTTGGGCTGATAATATAAGTGTGTATGTGAGCACTTGGTCAAAACCTAAGGCTGGGGATAGTTTATAACAACTTGGGAAAGTCACAAAATAAGGGTTCCAGAGAAGCACCGATAGTTAAGTTCCAACAGAAAAATAAAAATCTCTCGAGGACTCTAAAATAAATGGTTAAATAGATATTGAATAACTATGAGCAAAATACAATGTTCCTTCACTTATGTTGGCGTTATGTCCCAATAAACCCATTACAAACTGAAAATATCTTAAGTTGAAAATGCATTTGATATACTTAACCCACGGAATATCATTGCTTACCCTAGCATACCTTAAACTTGTGTATGACACTTACATTAGCCTACAGTTGAGCAAAATCATCTAACACAAAGCCCATGTTATACCAAAGTGTTGAATATTTCATGCAATTTGTTATGTGTATTGTTTTTGACTATTGTAAAATTGAAAAATGGTAAGTCACACCATTGTAAGTCACAGATTGTCTGCACCTGAGAGTCACCTACCACCTTAGTTAAAAACTCAAAAACAAGGAAAAAACTAAAAGGCAAACTCTAGTAGAACATGTTACAAAAACTGTAACATATGGTTAATATATTTAATTCATTTAAAGGTCATGTGTATTGAGAAATAAAATAAGACAAGAGACATAAGAAATAATCAAAAACTAAAAAACAATTAAAAATAAATTTTGAGAAAACGTTATTCTAACTGGTGATATTAAATGAATAAGTAGTAAAAGAAAAAAGTCATTTCCACTCATATATTAATTTAAGGTTTTTTATTTATTAATTTATTAGCAATGGGGAGTCTTATTATGTATAAGTTAATAAGACTCCCCATTGCTAATAAGGACACCTTGGCCCAGATAATTAGGTCATGAAATTTAATTCTAAATCCATCTTTAACATTTATGTTAAAGATAGATTTAAATCTATAGCTTTGGATTTATTGTTAGATGTATTGAAATTTATTTTTTTTTCATTTTTAACTTTTATTTCCTTTATAGTTTTGGGGGAGAAATAAATGGCAATAGTACTCTGGTGATTTACAAAACACTAGAAATTTATCAAAGCACAAGTTAAACTGTTCATTTTACTATAAAATTTATAATGTATAACTAAATAAGTCATAATAACAATTGGCTTCATTATAACTACTATATCTATTCATCTAGGTGGTTGAGGATTGGCAGGAGCTGCTGCAGTGCCCATTGGAGCCCTGTGGTCACTGCACTGTGCCACAGGCTGGCCGTGGCCTGGCCATGGTGTGGCAAGTCTCCCTGGAAACAGGACATCACCCTGCACTGGAGCACCTAAATCACTGGCAAGTTCTTCTCATTTGGCATCCACAGCCTTTCATATCAGTGTGGCATTTATCCCTCTGAAACCTTTTTATTAGAGTGCAGAAATATGGACCCACCTTGCTTATAACTACTGATCCAGAGCTCATGAAATATCTAAATAATGTGGTGGAACAACTAAAAGATTGGTTATACAAGTGTTCAGTTCAGAAACTGGTGGTAGTCATCTCGAATATTGAAAGCGAGGTCTTCGAAAGATGGCAGTGTGATGTTGAGTGTGACAAGACTGCCAGAGATGACAGAATACCCAGAGAAAAGTCTCAGAAAGCTGTCAACGATGAAATTCCCTCAGTGATCAGACAGATCACAGCTACACTGAAAATCAACTGTAGTTTGTTTTGTATTTCATTTATTAATTTTAAATGGGGAAAACAGTATACTTTACTGAACTAACTGTGTATAATCATTCCCTTATTGGTACCTGTTTGACTTTCCATAGAGTTGACATAATTTTTGGCATACTGTTCAAAAGGGACCAACCTACAGATGACATCATCACTGTCATGTCATTTTCTTTGAAGGTCGTAACTAGATGGGAAAACTTTTGCTATAAAGCTAAATGCCTTTGTAATTAGACATTTTTGTTGAGTAGCTTGACTCAGAATATAGGTAAGTATGAAACAGCAAAAAGGTCTGAATATTCATAATCATTTTATTACAATAATTCACAATAACAATGTATTCATGTTATTTTGTAAAGTAACTGATAATTCATAATAACAAAATATTATTATTAGTTTTTGTCATTTATTTCATTTGTATAGTTTCCATATTGAAAAAATCTTCAATTATTTGACTTAATGTATATAATTCACACTTACTACGCTATTGATGTCTCTTTCTACTCTTTAAATTTTGGTGATGCAGAATTCTTATGACTTTCTGTGTTTTATAAAATCAAGCTTTAAAGATAATGACAAATAAAGTTAAATGTATATGTTTAAAAAAATCTGTACTCTGGCTGGTGTGGCTCAGTGGAATGAATGCAGGCATGTGAACCAAAGGGCTGCCAGTTCAATTCCCAGTCAGGGCTCTCACATGCCTGGGTTGCATGTGAGAGGCCACCACACACTTAGATGTTTCTTCCTTTCTCCCTCCCTTCCCCTCTTTAAAAATAAAATAAATAAATAAAATCTTAAAAAGAAATCTAGGTGGTTGAGGTGAACAAAGAAAGACAAAAAAAGACAACCAGAATTTTTATAGACAATGTTAGATGTCTTAGATCTGAAATATTATCATAAGCTCTGCAATTTTTTTGACCTTGACATGTAAATCAATAGTGTAAACACCACTTAGATCATGTTGCCTCTCCTAATATATAACACCGCAATACTGGGTGTCCAATATGGCCCTATTTGCATGGTAGCAAGTCAATTCTATTTGGCCCTTTCCATCAGGGGAAGGTCAGTGGGTGCAGCTTTTCAGGTGTATATAACTAATATTGATATTGTTTGCTTTTCCTGCTCACAGAGCCTCACCCAGCATTACAAGGTTGTGATATTTCATCTTCAAATACAGAATCCTACCTGGCATACCATGCAACAAGGTTACCCACTTCAGAGTGAAGGATGTGTGAAAGTATCACATACTCAGTAATGTGCTGGTAGACATTTAACAAGTGGCTTTTCCTGCTGCAGATATGTTTAAAACATTTTCTTATTTCATATGTAATATAAATACTCCCTTAATATGAATTGCAAGCTACCAACATAATCTCATTCACGTTGAAATGATATAAAAATATGCTACCTGATACAAGCTGGTCCTGGCAACCACTACACAGCTCATCATCCTAAAACAACTAGCTTCACTCACAGAGTGCTACAAGGCCTTTTAAAGGCAAAGTTGAAGCACCTGAAACACCAGGCAACTTGGATGCAACACTCTGAAACAAGATGGTGCCATCATTCAGGATGCAGTACATGTATTAAATCAGGAACTTCTCTACTGTGCACCGTTCCCAGTGGCCCTGACCAGGGGACACAGCAAGGGTTCCATCAGACTAGCAGTTATGGCTGCCACCAGAACAGCTGGACTACTTGTACCCAGGTACCAGCGAAGAGAAGGGGAGTCCCCATGATGGCAAAAGTAGTTGCTATTGAGCAGTAGGAGGCATTAGAGCTGCTTTCACACAGCTGGGTGGGGAGAAGCACATGTGGGACCCAGGTGATACACTCGGGGATGTCTTGTTGTTTTTTTATAAAAACTGTGTCCTGAAATCTGCCTAAAAAGGCCAGTTGGTTCAGACTACCAGGTAAACTACAATGATCTGACAAGCTGACAGATGACAGAAATTCAGAATGGATAGCAGAGGAAAGAGAGGCTAAAACCAGGTGTGGTCCTGAGAACAGCAAAAGCTATAGGAGCTATAGTGTAGTCCACAGTCTGCCTCT